TGTTCCCTGCCGGTAAGTGTTTGATCATTATGGGCTGAGAGGTTAAGTGTAAGAGACCATCAAGGGTTGTTTACCTAATGGGCTATATTCCATTATCCTTGGGCCTTCATAGGATGGCCGGACTCAAGGATCATTTAACTGTAAATGTTGGGCCCATTAAGAGCCCATACTGATGGACTCAGGGGTTCGCCGTACTTGAAAGTGAATTCGGCTAGGTCTTTTCTCAGAGGCTGGGCCAAACCCATGTGGGCTTATGTAAGGTCATTGTTGGGGTCCCACACCATACAAATTAAACCTAAACGGGTCAACAACTATCTCGGAACATGAGCCACTTAAGCAGTCATGTGGTTAATGTGATTAAGCAGTCATGTGACATGGGCAAATATAGGTCTAGAGCACCCATTCTCATAAGAGGATAACTCTTATCAACTAATGGAGTTCAAATCCAAATAAAGATTTGGATTAGGAACATCCTAATTCAATTAGGAGTGGTGCTCCTTAAGGCTTAAGAAAGGAGAGATTGAACTGCTCCAGTCATCTATCTGCTTTCAATTCTCTCTCTGCTCTTACCGCCCTATTTCCCCTTTAGTGACTGGTCTTATTCAGTCTAATCTCTTATTTTTGCAAGAAAATATCAAAAATAATTCGTTCTCACCTCCTTTGTTCGATCCAAAGAGTTAGATTGCAGTTTTGTTGAAAACTGCGTTGTTGAACCGGCTTCATTCCAAGTTGCGCCATCTTCAGTGGATGCCAGTTCTGGGATTCAATTTGCGCATGAACTACCACTTTGGGAGCTACATTTGTGGAATCTGTATCAGGTATACTTCTTCCTCTTGTTTGGTTTAATCTGGTCCGGTTTCAGTGCAAGAACAATGCTTGAAAAATGCAATTTTTCTAAATCTTGGGAATGCAATTCCCAAAAGGCTGAAAGAAATTTTTGAAATTTCGCCCAACCATCTAGCGTGGTTCGGCCATCCATATGATGGATCTCACCTTCCTTCGGTATTTATGTATTTTGGATCATGGAAGGGCAAAAAATGACTTAAATGCCCCCTAACAACTATATAATAGATACTTTAAGGGGTCTTTAAGTCAAATACCATATAACACCTAAAAATAACCAAAATAACCCTCCCAACAGCCATAAACAATTAGTTTTGGAGGGTAATTTTGGTCAAATTAATCCCCCAATTCTCACCACAACTCTCATACTCTATTACTCTCTACAATCTACGTACATTTATAATCTTAACTCTTCATTTTCTCGATTTTATTTTTGTATTCCAATTTCCAAGTTTCAACAAGGAGGAGCTTGCTTCAAGTGTCTCAAGTCTGTAAATCAAACACTGCAATTTGGGAACTTGGGAGGCTAAGAAAGCTTCATTGGTTGAAATCAAGGATACTAGTGGTTGGACTGAGTAAGCAATAAATCAAATTTGTTTTTTTTTCTAAATTTTAATTTTCATTACAAGGGTTGGCTCTTCGTAAAATTTTTATCTTCAATTTTATTATTTTATTAATTCAACTCCATTGTATTATTTTTTTTCAATGGATTTTTTATTTTCTGTACACATTAAATTTGAAACGAAATAAAATTTTCAGAATTTTTTCGAGCTTATTGTCTATTATTCATGTTAATTTTCTGCTATTATATGTTACTTTTTTATTTTTTTTCTAATTTTTCTTAGTTTAGGAAAAATAGGCCTGGCCCGAGCCTGGACTGCCATGGCCCGGTTGCTTAGGCCCGACAGAAGGAATGAGAGATTCATCACATCGATGGCCGAACCCTACAGGAAGGTAGGGCGAAATTTCAAAAATCTCTCTCCCATCTGGGAATCACATTCCCTATTTTAGAAAACTGCATTTTCTAGGATCAATGAAGGTGTTCATGCCAAAGGAAAAAACCAAAACCCGCTTCCACTGAAGATGACATAGTGTGTGGTGAAGCAGGATCAACARGATGGCTCTTCAACAAGAACCGAATTATTCAGCAAGAATGGAGTAGAGGGTTGGTGAGCATGACTTCAAATTGCTTCTTCTACCAAGAAGCAATATCAAGAACAATTCTTGATCACTCCCACAAGAGGAAATCGAACTGGGTAGGGGCGGCAAGAACAGGGAAGAACTCTGCAGATTGTTGTGTTGTATAACTGAGGAATTCACCCCCTTTATTTATAGCCTTCTCAGGATCAACCTCCTAATCCAATTAGGAGAGAGTTCCTTAATCCAAATCTGATATTTGGATCTAGACTCTTGAATTGATAAGACTTATCTTATCCTTCAGCTAATCCTAATCAGATTATAAATCTTATCTTGCCTCCTATTAATTAACTAACTTAAGCCCAGTTCGAATTGGGCTTTAGGCCCATTAAGTTTATGTGCT